AGTTAGTTAGAGTTACTTTACTAGTCGAAAGAAACCGAACCTACGTACGACGTTGTTTCGTACTACTCCTACCGGACGTACTCTGTCGTAACTAACTCGTTCTTGTAGAAGAGAGAGAGAGAGAGAGAGGGAGGGTGGGAGACACCGCGAGTGGGATGGTCAATTACTGGATAAAGAAGTTCCATTTTTAACGGCACCCTCTTCATATTTTTTCATGAATACATCTTTGAAAACATATTTCTAGAATTTATTTTATAAGGCGGTTACTCATTTATGCAGTTTGGTTCCAAATCTGGAAAATTGTTTCATGCCCGCTAGATCGCGTTTATACATACGCAGTTTATAAAGCGCAAAGCATCCATGATGCAAGTAGTTAAAAACAATAGAAATTAATGGTCTAAATATTTTTTTACTAAAATTATTATTTTTAATTTTTAAAATTTATTTATTTATTCATATTCGTAATTTCCATATTAGAGATTATATGTCTTTAAAAATTAAGTCCAAAAATTCATCTCAAAAATAAATTTATTAATAGGCCCTTGTATGTTAATTTTTTCTATTTTACGCCTAAAATAGAAAAATTAGTTTTTCTCCCTACAAGTTAGAGCGTTAATTTCCAATTCGATCTAAACACTTTAAACAATTATATGCCAAGTTGGGGCCGACCGAAAAAAGATAATTTTATCCCATCTCCCTCCTTCACCTTCATTTTCTCTTTATGTCACACCCCTCGTTGTGGTCGTTATCATCATCGTCATCTTTTTTTCTTGCATTTGGGATTAGCTACAAGAACTCTTGTTTTATTTGATATGGGCTATAAGAATCTTTGTTTGCCATTTGCTCTATCCATACTTCTCTCTCCTAGTTGACCTAAGTACCCTAAGCCATCTCTCTCTCTCCCCTTATCAACTTCCCCCCCTCCCCCTCTCTCTCTCCACGTTCAAATAGTATTGAGAAATGTGGTTTCAATATTAGAAATCTTTGTAATAGTTTTAAAATATATTTTTATTTTTAATTATAAAATTTGAAACTTTAAAAATAGTGTATATCAAGTATATCTATGACAACTTGAAAAAGTTGAAAATTGTCGGTCCAAAAATAGGTTACAAGATGCATTGGAAATCCTTTTCTTTTTTTTTTGTTCTCATTTTATGCATCTTGATGTTGGGATGATCAATTTGAGGGTATTTGGGACTCAAAGTATCCTCTTTTAATAGAAGTTTTGAGGTGGGCTCAAATTTGATTGTTTAGTGCCTCTGTTCTCTTATGATGCTACAAGAATCCATTTTCATCTTTAATTATATAATTTTAAACTTAAAAATATTTCAAATCAAATGGATTTATAAATATATGAAAATCTTGAAAATAGATCGTCCAGATAATATATTGTAAAATGAAGTATTTTTTGCGACTTGAATTTTTTTTTTTTTTCATATTCATATCCTTGAGACGTTTTTCTATTATCAAAATCTCCTTTTCGTATGGATTTTTGAGGTGCACTTTAATTCTACATTTTTAAATGGTTGCAACTTTACATAAATTTTTTTCTATTAAAATCTCTATCTATTTTCACTATAGAAACATGTCTCTCAGGATAAATCCATTAAATCCACATCCTATCGAGCAACAAGAATCAATTTTCTAGATATTATTTTTTATAACAATATATTATAAAAAACAATATTTTTAAGAAAAGTATATATAAGATTGCAACTTTATAATGTAGAGCTACCGATGGACTTCAAAAATCCATTGGAAAAGGTAGTTTTAATGTTAAAAAAACCCTTTGATTGTTCTTCTCCATATCACATCGAGATCTATGATTATATAAAATAAAAATATTTTAAGTCTTAAAAATAGTACATTTTACAACATATTATCTACACCATTCATTTTCAAGATTTTCATATGTTCATAGATCTATTTGATTTTAATTTTTTTAAAAATTTTAAATTTTATAATTAGATATAAAAATAAATTTTAAGAGAATTCTTTACATCAAAATTATATACATGATAAAAGTTTGAAGGCGCAGCTCACCTCTACCGCTACCCCATTATTTTCTTTACAATTGTGGCCCAGGAGTTAATGAAGCCACATCGGCTCAAACATTGAGAGGCTGTTGCAGTTGAACAAGTCACTCGCTAAAGCCCAAAAAGTTGAAGTTTTTTTATAGTTTTTAAAATGTCATTCGTCATTACTTTGGTCAGGCTGCCAATGATTTTGACTCAACGATCTGTACCTGCCCACGTCTTCTCCTTCCTCCTGTACCAAGTACTTCATTGAATCTCATTTAATATTAACGCGCGCAGGATTCCATTGTCCTCAGAATGGACGGCTAGGATCCCATAGATTGGTCGAATGGATGCTATAAATGGTATTAAATAAAAAAAAATGACTCTATAGGATCCGCTGCTGGGACTTAAAAGGGATCACGGTTAAAGTTGATAATGATTTTTTTTGATGGAGTTAAGTTCCACATTTACCTGATAATTTTTTTTTAGAGATTCGTATTAACGTTAGCAGTAATGAAGTATTACACATATAAGTGAAGAAGGATATCATTACTCTTAAATAAAAAGTACGTTTTGAATAGGGCCAAAGCGCACCTTTAAACAGTCTCTAGAATGTGGTTTATGGAAATCTTTGTTGTAGCACTGAAGTATATTTTTATATCTAACTATAGAATTTAACACTTCAAAAATAATGTAGATTGTCTATATCTATGATAACTTGAAAATCTTGAAGTTGACTGTGTAAAAAATGCATTACAAAATACAATATTTCCAAAGTTTGAAACCCATTTTTTTTTTTTTATTGTCCATGCATCTTAAGGTGGAGATGATCAATTTGAGGATATTTGGGCATCAAAATAACCTCTTCTAATGAAATTTTTGATGTGGGCTTTAATTTAATTGTTTAGAGATTCGGCTCTTAAACTTTTTCCTCAAATAAAAATAATAATAATAAAAAAAAGATATTATGTTTTTAGTCTCGGCTTAGAGTACCATTGATAGAGAAGAATGGGTAGACAAGATTCATAAAACCGATCTCAAATGATTGAGATAAAAGATTGAATGATGATGATCATTATTATCGGAGTCTTACCCGGTCGGTGTATTTAAGGTTGGCTATAAAAATCTTGCTATGCCATTCTACTTTATCAACAAGAAAATGGCAGTCTCGTCCCACCACATCCAGTTATGCCCTCTTTTTCAAGCCGGAAATTTTAATATGATCGCCAAAAAGACCCTTTTCAATAACACATGACCCTGGCGAGGTTACCCTATATATTTGCCACCTATAGTCTATATATGCCACCATCTTGCCCTTTGCCTCTCATTATCAAGATCATTATACATTCCCTTATTAAAAAGCCCGCATTAACACATTCTCCACTGCTGAGTGAAGTGCGGTTGTTTAATATTAATTTCACAAGGGATAAGCTCAAGTGACTTGGTTAGAAAATTCGTAAAGTTCACATTTACAATGTTAATAATATACGAAGACAGGTAAATAATTATTAAGATTGCTACATGATGAATGCATAACTTCTTATTTGTCGTCTTCTTAGAAGTTAGAACTGGGATCCTCATTCCTAATTTGTCATTGCTTATACATTAATTTGTTTTTTTCTATTTTTAAGTATGATTTTGAGCTTAAAAAAAATGTGGAAAGAAAAGATTATATGTGTCCCGAGCCATGGAGGCTACAATCAAAAGAAAAGATTATGTGAACAGTCAATGCATATGGTGTTAAAGTTACTTTATAAATCCATATTTTTGTCAGATTAGACAAATCCAAAAAACCAGCTGTAGTCCTTTTCTAGAGTTGAATCAGAGTGTTCCCGGAATTGGGCTCGGCTTGAATGGTTAGCCGGTGATGTTTAGCAGTGCTATATCTCACGTTCAATTCTTACTATTGAACTACCCAAACAACAGTAAAAATAAAATATAAAAGGGAAAAAATATTCTTCCATTTGAACTACCCAAAAAAAAAGTAAAAAAAAAAGAAGATAAAAAACATTCTTCTTCCAAAATCCATATTATAACGTTTAAATAACCACGATCATGAAGCTGTAGAAACTTTTAAATTATAAAATAGATGATTTTAAACTTTATTTCTTAGGGTTTTTTTTTTTTGGTATTCATTTAATTGTTGTATTTGATAATCCTTATTTTCTTTCTAGATTCATGATCGCAGTAGTTGAAATGATTGATAGATAATAATTTAAACCCGAAATCCATCTTTGAGATAAATTTTGGAAGGAGTCTGCATTTGAATATGAACCCACCAATTTTTTTTTTGTCATTGTCACATTCCGTTGAAAAATGAAATTATGGTGATGGAAAGAGAGTGGGATTCAGGACTAAGTTCGTGCCATCTCTCCTCCTCATCCATTTCAATGGACAAAATGACCCTATGGACTATAGATTTTTTCATGGTCTGTAGATCTATATCATGCTTTCCTGCTATTTTTTTGAATTTTTTCGGTATAGCTGGATGGAGCATACATGATATACTGGTTTCATTGTATTTATTGATCTAGTTTTACTCTGCAATTGAAACCTGTGATAATTGATTTATGGCTCACAGCTCGGCATGGGCAGCGCAGTCGAAACACTGTGTGGCCAAGCCTATGGAGCAGGCAAATACGAAATGCTCGGCGTCTATCTTCAAAGATCGACTGTCCTCTTAATGGCGACCTCCATTCCTCTCACTGTAATCTATGTGTTCTGTAAGCCCATCCTCCTCTTCCTTGGAGAATCTGAAGAAATTTCATCCGCCGCATCGATATTCGTATACGGTCTTATCCCCCAAATATTTGCTTATGCTGCAAACTTTCCCATCCAAAAATTCATGCAATCTCAGAGCATAGTCTTTCCAAGTGCCCTCATATCAGCAGTCACTGTACTGATTCATTGCTTTCTAAGTTGGCTAGCAGTGTATAAAATTGGATTAGGGCTTTTGGGTGCTAGTTTGGTTCTTAGTATATCATGGTGGATCATAGTAGTTGCTCAATTTGTGTATATTGTGAATAGTGAGAGGTGCAAGTATACATGGACTGGATTCACATGGCAGGCTTTTAGTGGGCTTTGGGGGTTTTTCAAGTTGAGTTGTGCTTCTGCTGTGATGCTGTGTTTGGAGACTTGGTATTTCCAAATAATAGTCTTGTTGGCTGGCCTGTTGGAAAATCCGGAGATCGAGTTGGATGCGCTAAGTATATGGTATTTTTATTTGGATTATTTTTGGTATAAGGATGTCACAATCACTTTTGTTTGTCAAATTTCAAATGGAGTAGTTGTAAGAATGTCATTTATTAGACCTAAAGTTCAGAAAGATTATTTCTTTGACTTTGTGATATACCGCGAACCGTCCAATTTGATATATAATAGCCACGAGTGATTGTAATAATAAAAACTAAATGGATTCAGTTTATGTAGAATTCTTTAAATAAAGAGATTGTTTACAAAAAGGTCATTTACCTTTTGTTCATAAAGGTCACAATTATTATTTTTGGGTAAATATAGAGGTCACAATCATTCCTATTCATTAGATGTCAAATTGGATAGCTTGGGGCTGAGTCACAAAGTCCGAGAATTTTTTCTGTGTTTTTGGAAAATTTTGTCTATTCAATGCCACTTTTCCCATTTTGAAATTCAAAGGACACAAATGATTGTGATATGTGTACAAAAGATAAATGATTTATTTTTCCCATCCAAACTTAAGATATCTTATTATTCCGTGGTGAATTAATTTATGTAAGAATAATTTTAATGGTGATGCAGCTTTACGATATCGGGATGGGTGTTCATGGTGTCCGTGGGATTCAATGCGGCTGCAAGGTTGGTAACTCTAACCATGGCTCAAAGTTTTCCATCAATTATTTATGGTTTGTTTTTGTTTTATTAGCTTGGCATTTTGTCGAATATCCTTGTTACCTAGCGAAGAAAACAATTCCTTGTCGAATCTTCTTCTAAATCCCTATTTTGCATATATTTATAGTTTTTCTGGTCTTATTTTACTTTTATGATTTTATGTTTTTTTTTTTTATTAAACTGTTTTTAGGCTTTTTGATTCTCTATGGCCTTTTGGCTCTATATACTATTGCGAGTACACTCTAACTGGGCCGAGTTACTTGCATCTGGTCAACCAAGTCAAAGGCCCGAAGCAAGTTAAAAAATGTACGCATAGAGTTAAATTAAAACGATTCTCATCCGATTCAAAATTTGACAGAGGAGAAAGATTATTTTCTTGTACTAAAAGTAAATCGCTTTGTATACATTTCTGTCTTAAAATCTTGAAGTGCTCATAACGATGGATTTAATCTGGGTTATCCATTGTTATCTTTGGAATTTAGAGCTGACCCGCTAGGACCAAATTTACAATTCAATGGTCAGGGTGGCCCGGCTTGGCCCCAAAAAAACTGGGTCCGGCTTGAGGGCCAGGCAATCACGGCCTGGGATGGGCTAGGCCACGCCTGGGCTGAGACAGGCCCTGCTAGTTGCCACCCTTATGTAAAATTTGGTCCCATGCTGACCTCTGCCCCTAATGTGTTTTCATTTTGTGCTTTGCCTTTCCAGTGTAAGAGTGGGCAACGAGCTTGGTGCTGGGAATCCAAAATCGGCAGCATTTTCAGTGGTGGTGGTGACAACGCTGGCTTTCATCATCTCAGTGGTAGCGGCCATTGTGGTCCTTGCGATTCGCAATGTGATCAGCTACGCGTTTACAGGGGGCGAAGTCGTGTCGAATCGAGTGTCCGATCTTTGCCCCCTGCTGGCCCTCACTCTCATCCTCAATGGGATCCAACCTGTTTTATCTGGTAAGTCTACTTAATTATTTATTTGCTTAGTTGAGTGACTACATTTCTTATTGATTAGGAACTTCCTTTCTCTCACATAGTGAAATCACCCTTAACCATCTCAATTTTTAGTTATTTTTGGGTGAATTGTATAATTTTTAGTTATGATAATGAAGAACATGTAGAGTATGTACTTGCAGGAGCATTTACTATAGGGCAAGCTTTCTATGATTTTCCCCTACAGCATAAAACTTATATACTTTTCCTTATCCAACCTTTTATTTTGAATGGAGGGTTAAGATTGCCCCAATCACAATGTCATGTCTTTACACTATTTTATTTTTAAATTTTTTTGTATTAACTATTTTGGCACCAAAATTTGAACGTCCAATCCTCTATTAACCTCACAATGGAGAAAAATATTAAAAAAATATTTTCAATAAAATAAAATGATCAAAATACCCTTGAAATTTTTTAGGGGTATTTTGGTCAATTTGTTTTTTGAAAAATGTTTTTAATATTTTTTATAGGTGCGCCCCAATGAGAAGATAGCACGTACCAAATTTTATATTCATAAAATTTGTATAAAAAAACTAAAAAAAAAATACTTTGAGATGTGGGATCTAAGATTAAACAGTGAATGACTCTCTTGATCAAAATTAGACGTCTGGATGGTAGGAAAAACATAGATCTGTAGGAGAAATATAGAAAGCTTTCTTTTTCTCTTTACTATATTGGTACTTATTCAAGCCAAAGAGCTGCTTAGGATATTTTTGTAATAAGAAATTTTAGAACCTACGTAAGAATCATTTTATGATTATTTTGAAAAAAAATTGAGTTTTTTTAGCCACTTAGATCTAACTATTCAAAAATTGGACAATCTCTATTCATTCTTATCTCATTATTTGTTTAAGCATATACAAAGTGTATTTTAAAATCAAATTTTTTTAGGTTGGTCAGTAATTTGACGTTACGTGCCCAAAAATTTGAGATCCTAAAAGTACTCTAAAATTAGGTTACACCTGAGGAAGTAAATGGAGGATATGCTCCGGCGAGGATGATTGATGTTCACCAGACGAATAGCGGGGTGGGAAATAGAAAGCCAAGGATGCCTCTTTTGAAAGCTTTTGACAAATTTTACTTAAAACTAGAGAATATTACACTCCTGCAGGAGTATACTATTCATTTACTCCCTTGGGTAAAAACCCATCTAGGATTAAGTTGAACATCCTCAAGACTCCTGTAGGAGTATACTATTCATTTACTCCTTTGGGGTAAAACCCATCTAGGATTAAGTTGAACACCCAAATCATTGGGATGTAACCTCTTCAACCCCTAGACTAACCTCAGGGAAAAAAAAGAAGAAACCGTAATAGCAACCTCTATGCACTTGATAAAAATAACATTTCAAGATTGAATAAAGACCGTCTAATCTTCAAACGGTGAGATTTGAGTGATTCAAAACTCACATTTCGATTTTTTTTTTTTTTTCTTGTGTGAGAATAATAATCTAGTGGTTCTTAGAGCGTTTCTAAAATTTCATATTGAAAAAATCCTCTTAGGTTGTTCAGAAAGATGTATGCGCACTCTGAATAAAATTAACATGATGGGCCGTTCCATCATGATATTTTTCTTCAGAGAGCGCAAATATTATTTCTTCTTAGACCAGGATATTTCTCATAAATTTTTCATTTTGGATGTTACTTCTCATAATTAATTGAAGTGGGGGTTTGGTGTTCATGTTGATGAATGGTAAAAGGGGTGGCGGTTGGTTGTGGATGGCAAGCATTCGTTGCGTATGTGAACGTGGGGTGCTATTACTTTGTTGGGGTCCCTTTCGGTTGCTTGCTTGGTTTCTATTTCAACCTTGGAGCAATGGTGAGACCTTTCTTTTATTTATTATTTTTTTTTGTATTTTTGTCGATCTTTTTTGCTCTTACATGTGCATGGACGTCACTTCCTTGTTTTCTTATAAAGTTATTCACACTTTTCGTGTTTGGATCCTTCTTATCGGGGTGTCTTTCTTTGTACATCTCATCTTTTTAATGTAACCAAATTTTTTTTTTTCCGTGGTCTTGTTTTTCTTTGTACATCTAATTTATCAATAATGCTGTTAGGTAGTGACGTCGATGCACACGTAATGGTTAGGAGTGATGCGACCGATTTATAATAAAGTTATAAAAATGATCTCATAGTATACAATCCCGACTTAATGTTTACGAGTCTTCAAAAAAATATAAAATTTTATCATTGTTTTAGACATAAAAATTTGAAAGTTATGATGTTGGTGTTGGTAGGGAATATGGTCCGGAATGATAGGAGGGACATTGATGCAAACCATCATCTTGACTTGGGTCACATTGCGAACCGATTGGAGTAAAGAGGTAAGTAACCAACCAATTCTCTTCAATCATCGCTCATCGCTATTTCCTTTTCTTATGTTTTCCCCACACTATATATCTAAGTGTGGGGGTGGCCACGGGTCAAGTTCGGTTGGATCCTGACTCAGACCCGAATGGTATTTGGGTCTAGGTTTTGGACCAGGACCTCACTTATTGGGTACAAAAGTTGGATCTATATCCGTACCCGTCGGGTCCCAGGTCTATCCTGTTGGGTCAGAGGTTTGGTCAGATCCATTGCTACTCTCATTATGAGTTTTTTTTTTTTACCATCAAATACCTATATCAAATGCAACAAGATCACAATCAACTGTCATTAGATTTCAAGTTGTCTGATTTATTGTTTAATAGCTAAAGATGACTACGAGTTCTTATTGTATACGATCCTTAATACACCCAAACGAATAGGGTTTCAAGTATTTTATCTCCAACAGTTTACAAGTACGTGCCGGATCTCGCTGGACCCGAACCCGAACCCGACCCATTTTTTGTTCCCACCCATTTTTTTATTTTATTGATTGAATTTGATTCTCTTTTATAATACCCGTAAAGTAGCACATAATTTTGTGAATGATATAATTTTATTAATGTAAAGTAGCCGATAATTTAATCACGCGTAAAAAAATTACAGTATCATAGCCATCTTATGGGCAATTTACACATCCATTACCATTTAATTTCAAATCATCTCCCAATTTTCCTTCCGGGTGTTTAGAGCTACAAATAGATCATGACGTCCCTTCTTTTCAAATTTAAATTATTGATTTTGTTTTCTGATTACATGCATGTTATAATTGGGAATTATTTTACCGTAATAATAACCGGAAGCGTAACTGTGTTTGAATATGGGATCAATTGAATTTACTGGGATATTGTAGGTGTTATTATTGGCATAAGAACATAAAATGCAGTTATTGATATAATTGTTATATAATTGGTTCAACAGTATTCAATTATTAGATGGGAGATTATGGATGGAATGGGATGACGTTTGTTAATCATTGTGGGTTTGGCTTCTACCATCCCACTAATTCATTATGGATGGAATGGGATGATGATTGTTATCATTTTGGGTTTGGCTTCTACCATCCACTAATTCATTGACGTGGATGGCGATTTAGTCAACAAGTTATTATTTTTTCTACTTTTTTAAACTATCTTTTTAGCTAGGACATATTGGGGCTACACCCACCAGTTATGGGTCGTTATTGTATCATACCATTTCACTTTTGTACATGGATGTCACAATCATTCTTATTCATTAAGTGTCAATTTGGATGGCTTGGGGTAAGTCATGAAGTTCAATAATAGTTTTTTGGAACTTTGTGTCTATTCAATGACACTCCTACAAATTTTGAAATTTCAGGAGCAAAAATGATTGTGACTTCAAAATATAAACGATAAATTGTGTCTTTGTAGACAATCCCTTACTCTGTAATTTCACTATAGCCCACGTACATAGAGACCTAAGATTGCATTTTGATTTTCCCTATTGTAAGTATTGCGTGATTTGGATTGTATACTACGAGACTACTTATTTTTATTATGAGAAGGTCTCAAGTACTTCTAGCTATCAGATGTTGAGTTGGATGGCTTGGGATGTGTTATAAAATTTAGGAAATTTTTTTTTGAACTTTGAGTCTATTCAAAGGACATATTTATGACCACCCGATTTGAAATCTAATGGTCATCAATAACTTTGACCTCTATACACTAAATAAAATAAATGGTGTCTTTATATACTCCTTTGGAATTTCTTGCTCTTATTAAAAAACCATCTATTGTTGTCCGAGTGATTGGTATACATGCCTTATACGAGCCATTGTATGGTATATGGTACGCAGCCTTGGGTGGGAATCAACCATTTATTCTTATCTTGGCCAGTGGAAATGACCAGGCCACCACCTTACCATTGTTTTTTTTTTCCGTTTTTTTTTTTGGTAGTTCAATGGATGATTGAGTTGTGTGTTTTTTTTTAAACAGTTCAACAGATAATGAGTTCCTTCGTATCATAGAAATGGCACTCTAGAAGTCAAAGTCATGTTGTGACACCCCACCACCCTGACCTCCTGGTGAGCCATACCTAAGAGTTATGGAAATTCCGCCATTTGTCATTTGAGTGCATAGGGTCGTAGCAGAGGTAGCAACGAGACGGGACGGACGGGTCGGGTCGGGTCGGGTCAAGTCTAGGTCCGGCCAGACCTGGACCTGAAAATATAATGTGGCACCTAGGTCCGAACGCCGACTTGGAAGGACCCAAAAATTAAAATATCTACATATTTTAATATATTTTCAAAAATTAAGAAATATGAGATCGGGACCCGGACCCAATAATTGTTGGGTCCAAACCCGACCCGCCTAGTCCCTAGACCTCGGTAAGGTCTATCCCTTGGTTCCCAGGTTAGGTCCGGCTCGATTGCCACCCTACTCCCTAGGATGTATGTCATACAATGCTTATACCCTTATGGACAGAGGCATGGTTTTAATTCTACTTTTGGTATTATTGAATTTATGAAATTGGAATGGTTTTCAGGTCGAGACTGCCCAGCAACGCCTAAACAAATGGGGTGACAAGCAACCAGCATTGGGCCAACAAGGATGATTGGCACTTCTTAGTGGTATCACTGCACTAGTTTTGCAATTTACGTCTTGGTTTTCTGGTGATACTGGTTTTTCGGTGAATAGTGGTAATATTTAGGGGACGGGTGTTTTAGTAAAAATTTGACATCCGACTCCAGAAATTGTAATATCAAGCTTAATTCTTCCTGCCTTTCTTCCATTTGCATTCAATGCTTTAACTTCTTGAAAATCTCTCTCTCAGGTGTACTGTGTCCTGCAAGTCTTGAATTTCCAAATTTCAAACCCTGTGGATTTAGTTATTAGTATGTTATTTAATTTATCGTAGTAAGCTCTTTTGGTTTCTTTAATTGTTAAGCCTGGGTTTTTGTTAGTAGTATGTCATTTAATTTATTTTAGTAAGCTCTTCTTCAAACGAAAGTTTCTTTAATTGTTAAGCCGTGTTTGAATCGTCAACCCATTGTTGCGGCAAGCACCATTCCTATTGAAATGGGTTTTTTTTCCCTTTGTATTCTTCTTTGCTATTAAAGTCAAATTCACCATCTTTTGTTGTATTTTGCATCTTTAACACGACAACGAGGTTGTGCCGAAAAATAAATTTGTTTTGTAAAGGTATTTGATAGCACAAATTTTGGAGTAGAAAATTCAAAATTAATTGTGAAAGTGGTGTAATCCGGAATGACCCTTGCGAACATCAGGGCAAGAAAACTGGATGGTGAAGAATGGCAAACAAACTTTAAACAAAAATGAGTGCGTAATGGAGGCGGCCATAGCAAACTAGCTAAAACAGAAATATCTAGAGAGGACATTTTTTATACAAAATTTTAGGATCCACTTTATAATCAACAAATCTGTAGTTTCAGGGGAGCAAACGGATTATGAGATTTTAAATGAGGGTGGGTAGAAGCTGGTTCTAGAATCTGGAAGCAGTGAGATTTGTATTTTGACCATGTTTGGGACACTGAAAATATCGTCTTAATTTTTACATAAAAGAACTCCATACTCGAATCACATGAGAGAGTTATCATTTGAAAATACTCAAATCACATGCGAGAGTTATCATATGAAAATACTTTCATACTCATGTTCAGGTGAGAGTTATCATTTAAAAATGCTTTCATGCTCAAATCACATGAGAATTATCATTTGAAAATACTTTCATACTCAAATCACATGAGAGTTATCATTTGAAAATACTTTCACAACAATGTTCCCATTTACTAATCATGCCCTTAAATCTGTAAGAAGCACTATATTTGTATCGACAGCTCTAGCTTCCATGGGCGTCCAACTTCCAAGGAACCACCATCTTCTAGTTACCAAACTTGTCATTGATCTGTCCGAATTTAGACAATCTCCATTTGATTTTGGTACTAACCTTCTTTCAAGCACTAGAGCACATAAGATTTTCCTTTTTCCTTTCCTCCTTTTTGAAGGTTATTCGTTAGATTAATCTCCCCAAATTTTTCTTAGAAATACCCATAGATGGGTTTTACTCCGAGGCAGTGAATGTATGATCTCATGCAGTAGCAGGAATGCATGATCTCATGCAGTAGCAGATATAGAGCTTTTGAAGAAAATACAACTGTTCAATTCAACAAAGACAAAAAGAGAAGGGCATACATAACATCCTAATGGAACTGCACAACTGGAAGAATTTCCAGCTATCTTGGTAACATCCTTGCTTGGGTGCCACGCTTCTGTGTCATTCCACTTTTACAACGATGCCAAAGAGAATCTGAAAGAATTTCAATATCTCAAAAGAGTTGCCTCCATTAACTCTTCATTTGAGCATGATATTTTATTCTATACCCCCCGAGCGCAGAAACACACATACAAACACTTCACTACTTGCAAAATTCAAGATTCATGTGCTTCAGATAGGAGATCGTCTTATGCATAAAGCAATGTCATGTTGATCCCTTGATACAAAATTACAAAATACAAGCATGGGGACAAAAGGTAATTAGGATGGTACAAAATGCCAAAAGAATCTTAGGAAAGTCGAGGGAGAGGTGTTACCCAGAAAATGTTCTCAAGCCGTGAGCAAAGAATGAAGCCTATAGGAACAAAAAAGCTGGGCAGTTACATGAAACTACAGGGTAAAACAACTAAGGTTGCTCACTCAGATGAAAACTTTTTGAGGCTACTCACATTGAAGTAAAGTAGTATATAGGGCTGTGGACCTCAAATCACTCAAATCATTCAGAGACTGTGTTGTCGGTTGCATGTGCATGACCATTGGATCTGAAGAGTTATCAGCTCTCGTCTTTCTCATTATTAGATCACATGGGAGATGACTTGGGCCTCATTATCTGTCTACATGCCCTGAAAGACATCGGAACAATCACTAATCAGCTTACAGCTATGCATCCTTCACTAACATCATCATTTCATGATTCCTGCTGCTCTGAGAGAGAGAGAGAGAGAGAGAGAGAGAGAGAGAGAGAGAGAGAGAGAGTGACGATGTAGTACGTAACTACTAATACGACGAGTACGTACTACTAACGTACTAGTAACGTAAACGTTACGTTACCGGTACGGTTACGTACGGTA